CCACACCCACAACCACCCACACCCTCACACCCACACCCACCCACACCCACACTACACCCACATCACACCCACACCCTGAGCTGAGATAAAAGAAAAAGATTAAAGGTAGTATTGTTTATTTATTAGCGTTCGTCTTCTTTTTAAGCTGTAATATTCAATATTACTGTTTGCCATGTAGGATCGTTATAAGTTAAACTGGATTGAATATTATTTTTTAAATAACATGCAACACTAGAATTATCTGCGGAACTCTTTGCTCTTGTAAATCCGACACATGTTGGGTCTTTAAAACAAAATGTTTCACATTGTGTTAAAGTTCCAGTGTATGGATTTCCTGCGCAATCGTATCCAGCGTCACTATAAACAACAAAATTTTCTTTATGCCAAACGATTGACCAATAGCTTGGAAAATTCGGGTATTGTGCTTCGCCGCAGTTTATACATTCACTCAAATTCTTTGTATCATATGTTTGATTTTGTGAAATGTAATCGACGATTTTTAAACGACATCCTGTAACATTACAACCTAAAAATATAAATATATATACTATATCGTAACAACTTCTTATCGAAACTCAATACGAGCTTTTTCTAGATATCATGTATTGAAGGGTGTGAGTGTGAATGTGGGTGTAGGTGTAGGGTATGGGTGTGAATGTCGTTGCGGTGGATGTAACACTTATGCTCATACTCAAACCAACACCATCTACATTCTCACTCATCCCACACTTACGCCCTTCCATCACCCTCGCACAAACCATACCCATACCCACACTCACAATCATAATCACACCCACATCTATACTTACACCCACACCCAGCGCCTATAAAAAGCTTCTCTCGGCATATCGCTACAAATAACACCTTATCATTCATAGGCATACTTAAACGTACACATATTATTAACTTCTTAAAAACGCATCCTACCAGATTTTTACGCATTCGATACGAAGCATATAGAATAAGTCACAAATTCACATGGCTCTCCTCAGAAATAATCAATCGAGCAGACTTACTCAACACTTTCCGAAATTTGACCTCTCTCTATAAAAATATAGAGAAAACACATACGAAATTTAGAGATACCATTCTAGACGCAATTTTACAAACTCAAAAAAATGCACACATGTAACAAATCAATACCTACGTAGTAAACAATACACAATTCAAAACTCAACTGAACGGTTACGAGAACGAACCTTACTTTGTGTTACTAATCGCTAACCAAACTCTTCAAACATTACAGAAATCGTAAAACGCCAAGGACACGCCAAGTAAAAAAAAACGCGTATCTATCTGAACAAAATCAATCTACTGCACTTCACTACATACACGAATACTTACCTTGGCAAAAGCCGTTCAAGCATGAAATATTATTACAGCCAGTGGTACAATCCAGATCGACTTTACACATCTGGTATCCAACGCATGCCGGACATGAACCTCCACAATCGATGTCCGTTTCATCGCCGTTCATAATTCCGTCACTACAGGTTGCATCTAGGAATAGGGCAAAAATTCAAGCAACCTTGCCACTCAACAAATCACTCTTTACCTTTAGTAAGTGCAAAGACCTCTCTGGCACTGAGTTCTCGTGAGTAGACACGAAACTCATCTAAATAGCCAGAAAATGGGCCTGTTACAATTGACTGTGAATTACATCCATCACCACTTAGTGAGTTTCCCAATGTCAGAATAACCACTGTACCTGGTGCATCATTGGGCTGTGCACCTGTATCACCAACAGATACTCCATTAACATACAATGTAAGCCCATTTGCTTGCGAATAGGTAGTGGCAATATGTGTCCAGGTGTTGACCAATAGAACAGGACCTGTCACCTGCTTGTCTGGCTTCCAAGCAGTAGCAGTTATATTACCAGTAGAGGAAAATCCTATTGGGACAATACACCATCCTTTACCATTTGATTGTACCGAGTAATGAACAAGAGTTCCTCCACCTGTCGATGTTCGTTGTACCCATAGAGACATTGAAAATGATCTGCTTTTGACTCCAAGAAGGACATATCCGGGTATCTAAATAATTATTATATATTATATGATCGTTTCATAGTTTGGAACGTTTTTTAAACTTCTTTATACTACTTTCTTCGGCAAATAATGTGTAATTAAGTTATTAGAAAAAACTTCTCGAATCTTCTAACGAACCTTCAGTTAACGCTATAGTTTTGGTAAAAAATAGAAGTTAACGCAATTTCTTTCTTTTGAAATATCATCATAACAGTAGTTTGCAAATGTGCACATAGAAATTTGCTGTTAAATCTATGGCAGTAGTTGTTTGAATTCCCTTTGAATCCATGAAACGACCTATATTAATTCGCTCGCTCATCTTGACCACTCTTATGCACGACATAAAATATGTTTTTGCGTTTTAGTTGTATGTATCTAATCCTTAAAAGTCGAAAAGTCTTCCACTCACAACAACCAGAAACTAACCAAAAAACAGAGATTATGGATCCTCCATATACTCATACGAAGCTAAAAAGGAATTCTGTCACTCTCCCTTCAGAGTTATGTACTATCCTATGTCAGGAATATCCGAGCTTGTGAAATGTCAAAAGATAGCAATTTTCGTCATAAATAGTTTTTATAACCACTAACTTGTTGGGAAATGTTTACTCGATTTCAGATGCGTTCTTTTATTGTGAGAAAGAAATAACTGTTACTGTTGCAAATTTGAAAGCACTAGGTATTGCTAGAACTGCGTATATGGGCAAAGTTTGGATTAAAATCCGTTTATTTTGTTTTTCCTATACAACTATATATTCCATTGAAACAAAAACATTTTCGTGATGGCTTAATTTGCTAGTATATCAGTTACAAAATTTATAGAATGACACCATTAGATACCTTCGTAGTATGTTTAAGGATATTCCATAAACGAAATAGGACTGCACGTAGCATATACGAGCAAAACAAAACTTTAAAAAAGTCCTTGGCCATAAAGAATCTTTTGTTCTGGCTATTAGTCAGTTGAGAATTTCATTTTGATCTTGATATGTTCTTCAAGATCATCTTTACCCTGGAAAATATTTGTTTCTGTACATGAGACTTTATCATGGTTTTTATTGTAGCTATTCAAATATCTTTTGGAGAGAAGATTCAGTTCTTAAATCGGAAGGCTCTATTATAGAAAAAACATATAAACTTCTGTGTATCAGATTTTCCCTTTAAGACAGTGTTAGCAGTGAAAAATTCAACTAAGTCGATGACATACCTGATAATAAGATGAACTCAAATTGAAGTTCAATCCTTGGCCCACTTTACCAGGTGCTAATGTGACATCAACAGCCGTCCCTTGGAGTTTGTTTGGACCTGAATCATAAGTAATCCCACTATCAAATGTGTGCCATGAGGCCAAAGTAGCATCGTTAAGAATGTCATCAGCACTTCTAGCGTTCATGTAGAGCGTAACTTGATCAATGTAACTAAATATATAAGAACAATATAGAGTCAAAAAATAACGCAGTGACTTATGTTTTCTTTCAAGTTTTATACTGTTCAGAAAATGATCTGATTGATAAGAAATATTAAGGACCGAATCTACACGAATATACTATGAGTTTTTCTCATTTTCCGTAGCATCACTAATAGTATACAAAAATAAAAATATGAATTTCGACATAGTAGAAACAACACTTCTAGAGTTCCCTGTTTCTAACTCAATTGAATATGGATAAAGAATGATTCAGTGTTTCTTCCTCACCCATCAAAGTAGTTATAGCTGCTACCATTCTGGTACATCCCAATATTGATCGAACCACTCGTACCTAAATATGGCTGATTTGACATACCACTCGCATCTTGGTATCCATTTAAATAAACAGTTTGTGTTTTTGATGGATAATCGTAGACAAAGGCAGCGTGATACCAAGTGTTTTTTGTCAGTGACGTTGCACCGTTAACTCCATCAGCATAAAAGTCTAAGGTCAGCTGTAAACCTCGAACCATCATCTGTAACGAGTGGTCTGCTGATTGTGTATCATATTGAGTAAAGAGTCCATAATAGTTACCATTGCTTAGAGTCGTAGGATAAATCCACATTTCCACTGTAAAACTGGTATTAACGAAGCTTTTATAGGTTGGTATTGTTATATACTGATAACTGGTACGAATGAGTTTCAGAGCATATCCACTACCAGTGATGCCAGGTGCTACATAAGTAGGTGAGTTGACACCTTTTCCATTAAGACCTGATATGATATCAACAGCATTGTTTTCCATTGGCCAGAAACTGTAAGTTCCATTCGAATATATGACTGCTACAAAAGAAAAGAAAAGAAAAGGACGAAATTAGCAGGGTGTGGGTGAGAACCAATAGAAATCGATTTTTGGAGGAAAAGCATTTCGGTGAATACTTTGATGTTCCCTTTCTCGTAAAGAATTACGTAGGGAGCAGAAACAGTTTCTTTCTTATTCGTGCTGGTTTCCACCTTGCACTGATTGATACCACGCTAGTCTGAGAAGAAACTGATTTTGGAGTCGCAGACATGACCTCATCTGCGTCTACTATTGATTAGTATGTAAGTGCGTGTTAAGAATGATGAAAAACGAAGGGTACTGTTTGCGATTCTTTTTTCAATAGATGTGGAGATGTGGCATTTGTACGAGAAATAGCTAAGCTAGTTAATAGTCGAGCATTACATGCGTCATAAATGTGGAACGTTTTTGGTAAAGGGAAGGCCGTATGAAGCAAGAAGCATTTGCATTTATCTATCTGCTTCTTTATCTAAATAATAGCAGTGATTGATTTCATTCAATGCCAAAAACTTGTAAAGGGTGACTATTTGTTTTTGATGGTAGAACAGCCGAATTCATCTTTATTTCTTTGAGAAAGTCATGTCGTCCCGAAGAGTTTTACGAAAAGTTGTTGGGAATGAGAAATTTGAATCTAATATGTGGTGTTTAATTCATTTTCAAAAGAAAGGTTTTGGATCAAAATACGACTCTAGGGAAACGAGAGTATTGACGTGACGGTTGGTATGAGTAAGGACACCCTACTCGGGAGACCAGTAGGTGCACGGTTTAGTTTCCCAGTATTGTGCGAGTGATTAATTTAGTTGCTCTATGGTTTCTATATAACTATTTGAAGAATTCGATGATGTGTTGATGCTCAAGTCATTGGATATGACTGGTGGTTTTATGCTGTTACCGCACTACCGGACTGCAGTCGACGTCAGTGAGAACTAGAGAGAGTAAACTGAGTATCAGTTTGTGGACGCATCATTCAACGTCCAGCAGTCTGGAGTGGCGGATCGAAGGGACGCTGACGACCGACTAAGAGTTCAGTACACACTCTTTAAAAAAAATATAGTATGGATACGAAGAAACAGGCAGTAATGAGAAAGCACGAAGTGACGATAGAATATGTTAAGTCTCTCCTTAAAATATATAGTGAAAGAGTTGAACTCAAAATTTTATAAGTGTTATCTGATGTTCATTAGGTCAATATCAGTTATCATTGAGCAAATATCCCTAACGAGCGCTACCTTTGTGTATATTCTTTCTTTAAAGAGTTAGCGATCTTTACATCGCGTTACCTGAAGGTAATATGAGCTTGGTTACAGATATTAGTTGAAAATGAGATTCATCTTAAAATTGTATTTGAAAAATACAAAGCACTTTTTTTGCACTTGTATAATTTAAGAGAAAAAAATTTGCGTCGCGATTTAGACACAAATTTTTAAATCAATCCTATTAGTTCAGTATCAATAGAAAATACTTTTTCTTCTATTCAGTCGAAGGTCAGGTGAGTCAAATCGGCCAACGTTACTTGTTGTAATTAAGCCCACGTCCAAACTCAAATCCAGAAGATCCACTATAATAACAGCAACTGACTGTCAAATAAAAAGTCTGTCTACCCTTCGATAGGGATTCTCTACTAGATCGAAACGACTGCTTAGTCTTATTGGCTACAATTCTGATGTATGCCATGTGGGACTGGTGGATAATTTCAATTTCAAAATACATAGAAAATGGTGAAGATCATTCTGTCGTCAAAAATTCGTGATCGGGAGCAACGTGCTTCACGTCTTACATAAAGAAAATTATAAAGCGAATGGAATTATACAGAGAGTTTGCGTACATGCGAATGGTAGAGGGATGAAGAATGAACAACCTGATGCAGCAATAGGGATTACTTTAAAAAATATCTACATGATCAGCAAGACGGGTTTGAAGCCGTATATGGTAAGCGCTTTGCAAAGGATTAAAATTCAATATTTCACAGGCCTCTCTGATTCAAAGAACAACTGATTGGTAATAAAAGTTAGTTAGTGAATAATATTCTCGATCATACTTGTTTGAGCCCATAATGTCTTCGGTACTAGAGTAACTTTTGTCGACGATAATCCACTGTTTGTTGTTTGATCTTAATTGATAAATTAAAACACATGGAGAATATAAAACTGACTATTTCGAAAATTACAGTACCGGCAACTTGAGATTGTTTATGCAGAATTATTAGTTTGAGTATCAAAATACAAGCAACTAAGCCAATTAAAAATAATATAGCAGTGTATATATTAGGATGATGTTTCCAGACACTATTACTCGAGAAAATGAAAATACATTTTTATTCAGTCACGCTTATTTTACCTCTGGACTTTTGCGCATATTTGTGAACATAATGGCATCTTGACTAAAGAAAAATCCAGAATATTTATCTCTAATCCAACCACTAGTTTATGCTTTTCTGAAAATAATAATGCAGAAATTCACATCATAACATTCGATCAATTAATTATTAATCTGTTTCATTTTTTCATATAATTTACATTTGAGATGAATTCGCCTTAAATAATTGTCCTCTGGTATAATGATGACTAGACATGCACCAAACCTAAACAGTTTGGGTATATGAGTTTGGGTTTGGTGCATGTCTAACGATAACTACTTTCCATCTTAAGGTCATGAGTATGAATGTGACTATTTAATTCATTATGTATCGACATCCTCATTATGATCTTACAGTCACACCGTCGTCCATACTCATATTTTCATCAATTACATACATAGATGAAGAGAGTCTGCAATCACACTGTATTGTAATTCTCAGTCATTTCATTAATAATCCTATCGATCTCTTCTTCTTAGAATAGATTACACAGCAACTAAATGAATCTCACTAGAATTTCTAGCAACTCGCAAAGGAACTCATTCATCTGATAATCGCTATTTGAGCTCATATTTTGTCCACATATAGGGCTCATCATACAGGTAAAAATCGTAAACAGATTCGTTTCATTTGACCTTTCCTGTCAGTTATAGTCGTTTCGCTGAGTTTTTGGCAGATTACTGGTATACTTCGGAAAAAAATCGTAATATTGAATATCGGCTGGGAAACTTTGATGATCATACAACTCATACTCTTACTATATCTTAGAAGTTTTAGCTCAGATGAATACTTGTATTTAGAAACAATGCATTTGCAAAAACTACCACTTCATCATGAAAGTATAGAGAATAGTTCGTTTTACAAACGACTCATCTCTTTCTGAAAACTTCATTCATTTAAGTTAAAACTTTCAGAATGTAATGAAGACTGCTCGATATATAACACTGAAAATTTCAGTCGAAAATCTCTCATTTTAGTTTTCTTACAATATCATGCTGAGATCAATTAATGATTTTATACTTTTAATAGTCTCAATCTCTTTCTAAACTTATTACAGTGGAAACAGTCAAGAATAATTATGAAGATCAACAAGATTGATTTATGTCTTATATGGTAAATAAAAATCAAATCATATACACGTATCGTTTCGATTAGAAATCAAGATTATACACTAGTATTTCAATATTTACAAGTATAATAGTGAAGAAATGATGATAGAATAAAAATACTTACAACAGTACGTTATATAGCTAAATAAAAAAATATTTATATATGAAAGTTACCAAACTCATTTTCTTTGTTTTAACCATTTTTTTTCCATAACATCTGGAAAATATGTGTTCGCCTGACAACTAAGAAACTAAATGATATTTTTTAAAATCACACAAGCAAACTGAAATGATTATTCTCATTTCTTATTATTATTCATTTGTTCAAGCTTGATTTTTTTTGAAAGTATCCTCTATTACTTCTCTACAAGATGATGTATTCCTATTTGTTTGAATAACATTCATCGTTTTCTAAAACATGTTCCAGTCAAGATGTTGTTTTACAGAATTCTGCGCCTTGGATTGCTCGTTTGGAGCATGACTTATACTACGATGAATATTATGTATATAAAAGAAAAGTAGACCATTTTGTAGAACATCTCGAAAACGAATCTTTGAGACAAAACAGAGGCTTAGTGAACGAATTGTAGAAAAGATATAATTAGAATACTGAGAGATCCATTCTTCGTGCCACACTCGTTAGTTTTCTTTCCGCGAGGTATGGCAGCTGTAGAGCGACACAACTAAAACTAGTGAGTTTGTCATGAATGCATGATATTCCTGATAAACAGTTCTGTCTCTCTCATTCCCTTATTAATAGAATAGGAACGAGCGCAACTTATTTTCTATTAATAAAGTATAGCAGCTGTACAGCGGCACAACTGAAAGTAGTGAGTTTGTCATGAATGCATGATATTCCTGACAACGCTGACAAACAGTTTTCTATCTCTCTTCATTATTAATAAAGCATCTATGATTGAAACTAGCTTTCTCACAACGATGAATGACAGCTGTACAACGACACAACTCAAGCTAGTCACTGTTGTCTCAATGCATGATATTCTTGATAATACAAACAAACAATTTCCTCTTTCTTCATTATTTACAAATAGTGCTCATTTGATGAATTTGCTGACACTTTTCTGAAAGAAACTTTCCTATGATTATCATTAAAAATAATTTTGATTTTCATTACATGTTTAGAAAGGGAATCTGGACATGATGTACTCATCATGAAATCTTAAACGAACATGATTCACTTTTAATTTGAGGAATAAATGATCAATCGCAGTTGTGTATCTCATTTTCTGAAAAACTGATCTGATTCAAAGAGTTTAAAGAACTGTGATGCCGTATATTCGAGAATTGTTTCACTTTAAAGATAATCTGGGCAAAGCAACTTTAATATTTCTGAATGATCAGAAAAATTTATACTAGAAAAGAAGATTGATTGTCTTTCCAGAATGTATACCCTACGATGATTCGCTAAACATTCACTCTATAGACATTATACCATTTTCAAAAATAGACAGTAAAGTCTAGTTCATTGTCCTTGATTAAGTCTAACCAATTTTAATACAGATAGCTGACCATATTTAATTGTTCAAGATTTCGTATTTTCTAATCCTCAGCTCAAACTAATTTGAACAAAGCGGACAGACAAATATTCATGACTCTAAGCACCATATTTATCAGTATTCAATTGTTTCTTTAAGAAAAAAAATAGAACTAGACGTCGTTTTAATATTTCAGTTCGCTCAACAAGTTTAATGGCATCACCAAACCGGGATATGTTTGGGATTATCCCGAACCACGATTATTTCAAAAAAGGTATTCATTTAAAATGATACAGTCACGGGCAGCTCCTAAAACTTTTTAGGGTCGTGTAACTACATATCTATTCCTGCTCGCGCCACAACAAGCGAATAACATCATGTTTGCATTCAAAAGCTTTTTATTCAATAAGTCTTGTTATGTCAAATGTGTAATAAAGATTTCTTTTTAGCTCAAGAACCGAATCACTTAACAATTTCTCAAAAAACCTCAAATCTCTCTTACCAGACTTGGGATAAACTTCTCAAAGCAACGGCTAGCCATTTTCGCGTTTTAACCCTGCTATTTTCTCCATTATTGGTTCAACTTTGAAGTGAAGAGGTGCATTTCGTGTGAATATTTCTCAGAAGGATACTGAGTATTTGATACCATGATTCTCAAGAAGAAACTGAGAAAAGGAGAACTATGTTGTAAGCTGTTACGAATAGAGTACATTATATTGTGCCATATGAAAGATCTTTATTTGTTTTAATGTTATGATACAGCTGGTATCTCCGACGACCCAACAGCAGGATTTCGAAACCTGTTCGTTTTTCAATATATTTGCTTAAACTTTACCGAAAAATTCGATTATGGCTATCAACCAGAGTCTAGTGGGATATTATTTTTTCATCTCGATTCTGATCCTGCTTTCTAACAGCGATTCCCGCCTTGGTTCAGTTTAAACCCGATTTTTCTGAATCTGTCAGAAATAGTTTTTAAACACATGTCGCATGAGGTACTATTTAATAAGATTGCATGGTATTATAATTTGTTGGTTAAAAGCTGATGTTGAAGCGCATGTTCCATTATTCTAAGTTGTGTCTCTCAGATGCTATATCAAACTAGTCGATCAGATGAAAGAGAATATTTATTCGAGGCAGATACAATATTTCAACACATTAAAAGTTACACAAGAGGAAAAGTCGAAAATAAGGTCAACAAGGACAAATCAATATGGAGGGTGTGGGTGTTGGTGTATTTGGACGTCTGTGTGTGTGGGAACAACGAGCAAATATGATAGCCAAAACAACACCCACACCCTCACACCCACCCACCCCTTCTCTGAAATCATATTGGTTGAAATCTCGACCATAAATAACCTTTCTGAGTCAATTTATAGGTCTAAGAAATTTGATTGGCTTGGGTAGACAGAATGATAGACAAAATTTATGCATTTGAAGGCCATGATTAAACACTGTATAATCCTTTCTTTCAGAAAAGGGAATAACTATAATGGACGAAATTTCAGATCAAAATTCAATAGTGTACTATTTCAGGTAAATCCGGTGCTATAGGTAAAAAAAACTAGTAAAATGAATATAACTCAGCCCGAACGGCCTAATAGTACTAATCGTCTTACGGTTATTCTAGTCTCATGGTCCCTTACCTACTGGGCTGCGATTCGACCTATTTTTCCTATAAATCCTATATTTTTGACGAATCCTCTAATTTGTCCTATATTTCGACTGCTTTTCCTATTTTACCTATATTTTATCGAAAAACAGAGAAATATAACTGATTTTATAAAAATATGAGAAAATAAAAGATTATTCAAAGAGTATTAGCCGAATTTTACACCGACAAGCTAGTGAGTACTGATAAAGTCAGTCTTTATACATTAAAAAAAGATCGAATATATATATATATATATGCACATGTATAGACGCTATCAGTTAATACACGTAAGACGGCGATATCTATTGTACGCAATACTATTTGTATTTTCACATCTTCGACGAATTTGCTAAGAAATTATTTAATTAAATCTTCTAAAGATCCAATAGTCAAAAGAATAAAACTAATGTATAGAAAATAATCATATGTTCTGCGAACCTTTTTTCGCAGTTTCACGTATGTACAAATGTGCGTATTCTTGTGATAAGTTTTAGCAGATAGATGCAACAGGTATAAAGGGGGTGATCAAAAAATCATCACTTTTTACTCACGCTAGAAATTTTATAATACGAAAGTCCCTATTACCTAGCTCACAAATGCGGTATCTATTCGTCTAAGTCTGATCCTTTTTTTTCGGTGTTTCCCGTAGGGCGATACTTGGCTCTCAGTACTAGACTCAGGTACTCCTTCATAGAAATCGCTGAAAAAAAGGAGCAGATCTAGACAAGCGGATGTCAGATTCGTGATCCAGGTGACAAGGACTTTCCTATTATGACATTTCTAACGTGAGTAAAAATTCATGATTTTCGAGCATCCTCTCTAACCCTTTGATTACGTGTCACATATATATATATATGTGCTGACTACTACATTCTGATACATTTCTAAAAGTGCTTAACCCTTTCAGGACCGTGGCACATTTGTTGTACCACCTATCTGAAGGGAGACCCAGCCCTTTCAGAAATAATTTTTTTTTCTAAGATCGCCATCAAAAAGATAGTTTATGAATGACACACCGATGTGAAAAAGATAAAAGCAAAATTGGTTCTGAAAGGGTTAAATATAACAAGAAAGTTTATTTTAGCATTTTGTATGATAAAAAACTATTTTATTCTAAATAAAAATTCCTTAATCAAAGGGTTAAATAAGCATTTATTTATTCATCAGATTTAATTATGAGAAAAGTATTTGTTTGCTTTTTCGCTATTTATTTTTGAAAGTTTACGATTCACTTCTTTTTTTGTTATTTACTGAAATGTGAATAAACTATATTATAATCGAAATTTCAAACGCCATTTGATTTATATGATTATTTTGATAGCAAAGAATTACGCAACTGTAAGTAAAGTGTGATCGTTTATTCTAATTCTATCAAAGGACAAATATGGAGTAATAAAACTAACAAAACTATATGTTTTCACAAAAATAATACATACCTATATTTTTGCCATTTTTTATGGAAAATCCTATTTTTACACAAAAATAATCCTCTAAGGATTCCTATTTTTTTGAAAATTCGCAATCGGAGGCCAGCTTACCTATGACCAAAATATCAGCTCAAAAACGATTTGCAAGTTGGGGATCATCCCTCGTTAGTTAACTATAGAAATTAATCTGATAAAATTCGATTACTTTAATACTAGCAATTTCTGATGTAACTTGACAATCCATAATTTCACAAGAATTGTCACATGAATGATTTAATGACGATTGAAGTGAAAAAAGATCACCAAATACTTGATCAACATAGTTAACCTTTCAAATACGTTTGTAAGGTTTTATATAAGCCATTTTTATCACGTTGTCTGATATTTGATAAAAAGACGTGTATATATTACTGTTGCATATGTTGGAGAAGAAAAACTGTGAGTATTACATGCTATTTGATAAAATCGGTACATAACTTCTTGTTTATTGAATTCATGTTGTACTAGCATTAATGATTAATTAAATATATTTCGCATGATTTTGAGCATACGTGGAGTTGTACGAATATATGTTGAAACACATGATGATATAAATTCGAAAAAGATTTCTTTCGCATGTTCTACAGGACCTTCATCTGTTTCGTCAACTTTATATGAATGATTTAAATCAATTCCATTCGATGTATTGTTATCTACAAGCAGAAAAAAAATTCTAGTTATATTTCAAGATAAAATATACTACATAAAAATGAGTTTCCAATATGAAAAATTGCGTCTATTAATTATAGCTAACAAGTCAATATCGGATGTGCCAATAAAGAAGATTCCATATTTCTTTCACACAAGAGTACAGAGGATATATTACTTATCAAAGTTATATACATAAATAAGGATTTATTATATAAATGGTGATTATGAGAATCTGCTTAGACAAATAAAATTATCTTACGTTGGACAGAATTAATAATACTAAGAATAATCATTGCTATTAGTTTAGCTAAAACCATGCGTGAAAATATTGAATTCCATGTTTCACGCACAATTATTTGCTTATTAGCACAAAATTGATAAAGTTCAGTTTTTTTGAGAATTTATTGATCAACATAAAATTCGATGATAACTGTTCCATGCTTTATCACGACATGATTCTGAACAATATAATTCAAACGAACAATACGGATATGACATAGGTGTAATAATTAGCCAATATTCTTCTATTTGTCGTTGCAGTTTCTCTAGCATACGTGATCATGTTGCTTCAAAATAAACTACTCGGTTAAGTAACAATGTTGTACATGTTGTGTATGGTGATGGAACTACCAAACAAAATGGTACTCATCATAATGAAATATTAAAATCAACAAATATTGCAAAAGAATGTGAAGCTTTGCATTAGATTAAGATCAATATGGTCAAAATATAATTATAAAACAAAAATAATTTTGTCGATCTAAAAGAAACTTGCATGATTTGCTTTTTTTCGGAATAAAAGATGAAAAATCATATATAATGTATTAACTTTCTTTTGAAAAGATGATTAATTCTATTTTCTTTTCGTATATTAATAGCATCAATCAGAATAATTGAATAGACGCATATGAAAATTCGCAGTAGAAAAATGTATTTTTTAGCATTTATTATTCGTATAAAAGTATACACAATCCAGTCTGTTGTAGATATATCGTTAAAACCAATGATTATTCTAGTAAAGTATATCTTACTTCTTACCAAAGTCTGTTGCTAATATTTGTTAATTTCATTCGGCAGCAGCAGTTTCTGCAATAGAACAGCTTGAGAGAGGATTTTTGAAATACACCCGCTAGTTTGAAAGAGCAGAAAAGGTTAGCTAGAAATCTAAACTTTGACAACTTTTGAGCAAAGTCTTCTAGTATTTTAAGAAAGGTTTGTTTGTTTACAAAATATTGATATGTCAAAAATTATGACTTTTTATATATTTTATTTTTTTGCGATTTTCGATCACGAAAAATTGATGGAAGACAATAAAATTTAGTACTGATGGGTAGAGCGGACGATGCCTAACAAAAACGTATATTTTATTCATTCACTACAAATTCTTTGAAAAAGTCAAGCCATTATAATATATAAACTTGATACTTTTTTCATACTGTTTTTGGAGTTTTTGTTTCTGTTATGCACTTTGTTTTGAGAGCCTAAAATAATCTTTATATAGTCTTACAGAGCATCCAAAGGCGCATCTTTGAGTGAAATACTATTTGTTCAAAAGTACTATGAAAGTCTCAAAAAGTCTATAATAATATTACTCACTACAGACCATAGTTTTTGACATTTTCACAAAATACACTTATTGCTTCTTTATGAAAAGATCATTACTTTAGATAAAAGACTTAAGTGAGTGTGGATGTTGAATAAAGACGATATTGACATACAGACCCACACCCTCGAACAATATACTAAAAAAATACGGCAATGAGCTGATTTCGAACAGAAGTGAGTAAAAGTTTGACATAAAAGCAATTAGCATTAAGGCAATATACAGAACACTATATAAATCCGTACTCTGAAGTGTTCGTCGCTATTTTTGCTCTCATATCATGATTCTGACACTCCAACAACGTTGAAACAAAGCTGACTCTTCACCGTTGTTCGTCTTGTTTTTTCTGTTTTCAGCACCTCAGTCACAATAAGCTAATAGTAGGAAATCGACTTGATTTTTATAACATTTATTTATTGATTAAATATGAAATGATGAAACAATAAGCAATATTGATTAGATATAAAACGATGAGACAAGCAGCGATATGGATTAAATATGAAGTGATGAGACAAGAAGCAATACAACAAAAGTTTTGTTTTAAAAAGTCATGATTTAGTGTTCATTCGATATCTATAGCTGGCTGAGAGGGATCTACTCGTGTTGATGATAAGCGACGAGCGATTTGTATCCATCCCACAATTTTTCGATACATACACCACCCATACCACACAACAAAACTAAGAACTACTGTCAATCCACCATACAATCCAAGCACAGTGGTGATTATGTAGAGTATTGTGTTGTGATCAATGTATTTGTATGAACACGAATGCGGAGCACACGAAGCGTAGTAGCTCGAATAATTACTTTTAATTCCCCAATCTTCCACGAATAAACTATCAACGAGGCTGCCTATGAGAGTATTCGAAGGATAAATACTAGGTATTGAAGCATTGAGCGGTTCGGCAATCCAAATAGTGGTATAGCGTGTCGATGCAATGTTTGTTAAGCTAAGAATACAGTTTGAATCAAAGAAACATTGTAGAGTAGACAGACGAATACCATCAACTGGGAAACAACCAGCCACCACACCAGGTAATACTATTTTGTTACTATTTGCATCAATATATAATGGTCGTGAGAAACTATCTAATGATGTAGTACATGAGTAATTATTCCCAAATGAATTACGTGGCACAGTGGCAACGACGTAATTATCCGCTGCAGTTGTGAGAGCGAATTGCCAATTTGTTTCAGGCACAACCAGCAGCTGATTTGCACGAAATGTTTCATAAATGAACGATTGAGTACGACGAAATTTGTCTGGTGTTTGAGTAATAAATACGGATGTAAGCGAATCAATCTGAGCTTGAAATGAGTTGAATGACATTGCTTCTAGAGTGACTAATTTATTGGTAAGAAATTCACTTGTGTCATTGTCGATAGATTGTTGTGCTAGCGAACATAATGATGCAAGAACACGAAACTGAATGCTAAGAAGCTGAAGATCCTGAAAAGTGGTCATGCCATCAAATCCCCACAGATAACCCCACCATTGTTGTGCAACGAAATCGCTAGAACATACCTGATGTAAACGAGGTGTAATCGAGAGAAATACATCTTGCTGAATAGAGGCTTGTGAACATAAACATGACAGACTTGACTTGTGTTGATCTTGCAGGTACGAAAATGTTGCTTGGGATGGCGAGAGAACTGTGATAGTGCGTGTTTGTTTGCTAAAACTTGTGAAGAAAATGATGATACCAAAAGCTAGAGACAACAAAATGATGTAGAGTCGACTAGGCTTTTTCGTATCGATATCATGGTCCGCTGGTACTTTTTCTTTGAAAACATCTATGTTCAACAGTGCATTTCGTGCATGGACTAATAGTAAACAACGCTGATTGATGCGCTCGGTGGCTTCTGGATCTAAAATGATAAAAGAAGTCGATTATTCACCTAAACAATCTTGCCTTCCAGGCTACAATGACTTAGTTTATTGAAGAAGGCAATACTCGCAGGAATTCCTTTTTTTACTTTTGTGATCGTTTGAGATTCTTGTTGCACACAAATATGAAAGCTTAGACTAGATGATTAATGTGCTGTACTGTTTTCTTGCAAGGGTGAAATGTCAGCTATATATTACATTGTGTCCTGAGAACTATAATCATGAAGTGATTGTACCAAGATTGTAGAAGTATTATCAAGCTAAAACATTTTTTTTCTAAGCTGGTAATTGAGCAATATTCTGATTAATACTTTCAAGAAAAATGAAGTCAAAGGAGATTCATCCTAGCCATACAAAATCAGAGATATTCTAGGTGTACGAATATACTATATTTACTCAGGGGTGGCGTCAGTTTTTGTATGACCTAAAATCGATTACATCGTCGTTATTGATTCTTCTATCTGTTCTACATACATACTTCTGGTAAATATGGATATAAAACGCTGTATTCAGTTTCTCCTTTTTATAACTATTTTCAAATTCATAAGTTTTATAAGAAAAAATAGTTTGAAAGAGAGCAGAATGAACATGCACTAATCCTTAGGAAGGATTGCATAGCTAGGAGCATACATAAATCTTTTCTGGTCATCTAGTAGTACTGAAGTAAGTCACAAATGTTACCCATAGATTACATCGAAACCCAAAACAACTGGTCTTGATTACTAAACTAAATAGTAGAAAAAGTCTAATAATATTTTCTTATTTGGGAAGCATCGCAACTTCCATGACTTCCCAGATCATGACAGCTCTGTATTTCATATCATCCATTATTTCACAACGGAAGATCTTCTGTTGCAAAATCGAAAAAATACTTGTGTCTTTTCAACAATTGCAGAGATAGCTCGTTTCCAGGAAAATAGATTTGTATTCCCTGCACTTCTATAGATCAATATTAAAGATTTGCAACAGTCGAAGTTGGAAACTACTGTAATTCTATAGATAGCAAAATAACGGTAATTATCTTTATCCTAAGAATACGAGTCTAGAAAAAAGTATCTGCTTCACTTCTGATACAATGAGATACAGGGTGAAGTATATAAATAATAAGTTTATGAACTTACCTAATCTATCGACGCCCTTACAACGATGAAAAGTACCCACAATCAGTTTTACACACGGTGGCAAAATCAGCTTTAATGCAACACTGAGGCCACCCAACAAACCGATGAGAACTGTAATGGCAGCAACAAAAGCATACGATTTTTCGTATGTGTATGTGCAACTATCAGGATTGCAGGTTTTATAGTAGGTGCTGTAGTCGCTGGATGATGTCCAGTTTTCGATAAACATGTTTAATACTAGTGATTCAAATGTGCAATGCGGCAAAAACCGACTGGGTAAATCTGGGTTGAGTGCTATAGTGTTGGCTCCACGTGGATCGATCGGCGCATAGACTCCATTGATGCCAAATAAACGCCAATCAAGCAGAAATTGAATACACGATTGGTTGAAGAGACAGTCAAGTGTTGAGAGTAGTAACGAATCTATGGGTGTACAACCCATATACATACCTGGAATAATGACGTTTGGTTGCACATAGACACCAATGCAAGCGCTAGCACTGCAATAGAACCCTTGCGGTCGAGTACATTTGCTGGATATGGCGCATGAGCAGACAGATCCAAAAGGATATATGTTTTGCAGGTACAATCGAACTTGCGTATTATGCGACGAAGCCTGTAGAACAGATACAAGACCTACGGGGTTGTAGAATTGATTATCCCGAATTGCCGTGCTCAGTTGAGAGAATAGAATCAGAAAAGAAGCTTGCGTTTCTTGTTGAAACTGTAGTGCTAGTTCGATCATCTTATTTTCGAATAATACACGTGGTATGAGATACACATTCACCAGTTTTGTGGCGCCAAAAACAGTTTTGGCATTGATAACAGTTGTACTGGCTGTTTCACACAATGTTTTCATCAGATAAAATAGACTAGTACCGGCATTTGCACGAAAATCCTCTGCGCTAGGAAGGAGAATGCCCGAAGTCGGGTTGACTGGCAGTAATTGAAAATAAAGTAACCAACGATCATCTCGGATAAAATCACTTGAGCACAACTGATGAAAATGAGGCGTAACAGTTATTATCTCATTATATGTCACAGACAGGCCGGTGCAAGGACATACGAGTGTCGATGAATACTGAGAGTACAGTTTTTCGAAAGTATCCAAAGAAGGTTGTTGTATGGTAACACTTATCGTGGTTACACTCAACATTGAATAACTGAAGAGAATGTACGCACTCATAAATGTCAGAAAAATATAGAGGCGCGTTGTGTGAACACCCAAATTCACGGTAGAAAAGAAAGTTTTGAACATATTAAATGTTCTGATTCGTTGACGAACTCGACGAACGAGACTTAGAAGGCGTTCTCCAATGCTTAGCACTAAAACGATTCAAACAGTTATCATCTGATGTCATTTATAAAAACAAGTCAATATAAGAACAAACAATTCCATATTCTCAAAGTTTCTTCTTTAGAAATATAGTAAATCAAATAAATCCTCAGTACGATTTTGTGAGAATGAAACAAATCAGGACTGTAAAAAAAGTTATCTACCTGCAGGATCATTTTCTATTGTAAGAACTGCATTACCTCGGCATTTAATTAGTAGACCACAAATGAATTTTACGAGGAGAGGAACAAGAATACCGAGTACTGTTGTGAGACCTCCGATAAGACTGAGCAGCATCGTCATTGCATAAAGAAGATTACCAGGTTGTGTATAAGTGTAGGAGCATGCTTCCAGATGGCATGCATTGTAGTAACTAGTGAAATTACTCGAATTTTGCCATGTTTCGACAAAAAGCTGTTCGAACAAAGTATTCACGGTTGTATTGACTCGAAAGCTAGATGCAGCAGCCGCATTGAGTGGGATGATCGCTTGTGATACACCAATGAGACTGAGGCATGAACGATTGTAAAAACACTCCAGTGTCGACAGAAGCATTGAATCATGAGGCAGGCATCCAACCAATATACCTGGCACAACAAGTTTAGGTGGTGGCGAAGGTAGATATGGCGATAGCTGAGCGTTTAGAGGGCGGATGGCATAGCTGTAGTAACCAGCTTGAAAAGCACAGTTCGACATGAGCTGACAATTGCAATAAGTATTGTTCGGATTCGAGGAATTGCTGATCATATAATTCCCAACCGCATAGTTTCCGCGCTCGACGTAGTAAATTGATGACAATGGATTATAGATAAGGTAATAATTGGTATTCAAAGCTGACATAATTCCACTGTTAAAAGTAACTAGGGATACCAGCTGATCGATGTACTGCACATTCGCTACTGTTGTCGTTTGCATTTGTTCGACAAGTGCTACAACTTGAGCCTCGAATACTTCACGTGATACAGCTTGACTGCTAACCATTTGTTGCGCCAGAAATTGATTTAGAGCACTATTGATAGCTGATGCCGCTGTTTGACACAACAATGCCAAGATCTGAAACTGCGACATAGCCATCAGACGAAAATCTAATGGATAAAATCGAGACATATTTGTTTTGAATAGCGATGAAATGAATTCTTGAGAGATAAATTGGCTTGAACACACTTGATGGTAACGTGGATCAAAGAACATAAATTGATCATAGCGAATATTGGTTTGTGAACAAGGACAAACGAGAGTATTCGGATACTCATCGCTCAGAGATTCAAATTGATCTATCGAAGGTGATGTGACAGTTACGACGTGTGTTTGCATGTTCGACGTAGCAAACAAGGTGATAATGGCAACCGAGATACTCAGGAGCATAATATACAATCGAGTTGCTAACAACTGATTGTCGATTGTCAAAGAGTTATCGGTTTCGTACAAGTTAAACTTGCCGAGCCACACATCAAGACGCTTCCAAATCATCATTACAAACCTCACTACTGCAATTATTTTTCAAGAACTCATTTTCTTTTATTGCAACAGAAGACATGATCAGAGAGAAATACAAAGAGATCTAAAAAAAAAGTTGAATCGTATCTTCCAGCTGTCTTTGGAAGTGAGCTGAGCGTTTTTGTTGTGTTGTTTAAATGAGTTCTACAGAGTCAGTGAATATTAAAATATCATAGTTCAATTAAAAAAGTCCGTGAATAGTGCATTGTATAATTAACTTTTGAAAAGTTAGGGAATATTATAGTAATCTAACTGACAAAAGATATAGATGTGATTTGTTAAAAAATATATAATAAATTAGCAATTTGTTTTAGTAGTGGTCTACTGATTTCGACGTTTTTTTTTACTCATGAATACAATTTGAGATGATGTGAATGACTTTTGGCATGAATTTATCGTTGATTACCATTGGGAAGGCAAAAAAATGTTGATTTTATGTTCATGTTCTACCAAAACAGACGCATTGCTCTGCTCAATTTGATCATTATATTATTCACTGACTTTCAAAACTCATTTAAACAATATCATAGAAACACCTAGATCATTTTCCAAAACAGTTGTTAGATACTATTCAGTTTTTTCCTAATCCCTGACTATTTCTTTCGTATATATCATGCTTTTTCTTACAATAAATGGAAACACGCCTTGCAGCTGTTCCAAAGAAAAACGTTCGAAGTCAGTATTCTAGTATTTGTATCAACAAGATGTCATTGAAGTTCTAAAATAATTCTAATATTTATGATTTCACCATTCAGTGAAAATTATTTTTTTAGACTGATACAGAATATTGGATATATCCAATACAATTTTATCAGAAAGCCAGAAGTCTATATCTTGAACTATGAATAAGACACTTTAACTTTCACATGTATTTTTTAATTTTCTCTAATTATCTCAAATATTATTCTGAAAAAAATAAAAAAGAAACACATAACAACTTATCAGTACTCCTGCATCTGATTATTACCACGATCAGCGATTAGCTTCGATACTTCTTGATGTAGTATTTTATCCCTAACAACAACATCAAAGATCCTATAAAAAAAACATTTATAAAATACTTAGATTTGCATCGTATGTAGAGTATCGAATGATATGCAACTTGTCCTTCACTCTTCTCATTCTGAGTGTGTCGATAGACACACTACTCTTGAGAGAAAATTAACTTTCAATGTCAAAATGTGGTTTATCGACATGATCATTGATTTTGACGAAAAGGTTTTATTTTTGAATTTCATGCTGAACGTGCACGTAAATAGGTCTATTCATTCATGAAACATTATGAAACTTTATCAATAAAGAACAAAATTTATATTGTTGTCATATATTTTATCAATAATCACAACTATTACTGTGGTATTATTATATTAGAACCTTGAGAGTTGATCGCGTTGTTAATGATAAATCATTCGATGAGATGTGCGAATAAACGATCACAAAAAGAATATAGAAAGTAAAAATTATATTTCAATTAATATTAATCATGTTAAAGAGTCGATTGTATTTCACTGTGTCGAATATCACAGCATGGAAGCAGCTCTTTTATTGAAACATAAAAAAGTCTATCTCCAAGATAAGATATTTTGATTGCTATTAGAAAAAAAGTTAATAAACACAACTCAATATAGAATTATTTAAAAATTTTGAGAAAATCTATGAAACTTTTCATTTGCAATAAAACTATTTATAAGTTGATAAACTATCAGCAAAACAAATAAATAAATTTGTCATAGATTTTATCAATAATGATTTTTGATGATACAAACAATAATAATGATTCCTATTAGTTTACTTTTGATGCGATGCGGAGCAAAGCATTTATGTAGTGCTTTGTGAGTTTTTAAATTTAAAATTCGAGATAATCAAAACGAAAAGCGAAAGAAAAAGTTAGATGCGACTTCTTTCAACATACGATAGTTTAAATTCTCGATTTTGATAGTATAAATTCCACTTTATTTTTGAGGGTGTGGGTGTGCGTTTTGATATCACCCATTACAGATGCCCACACCCACCCATTCCATCAATTTCCGGCAAAATCCCTGAGGAAACTCACCATTTCCAGGCGGGACCCACCCGGAAAATGCCAGGAATCCGATTGAGAAGTGAGGTAACCGTATTCGGCTGCCAGTTTTGACATGTTCCTGTCGATTCCGGTCCAAGCCAGATAAATCCGATCATCGGATCCGTTCAACGGGAATACTGCTTCCATGAAATCTCCGGAATATCACGAAACCGGCCATTTCCGTGCCGGATTGTTCAACCTGGATTATATATTGTTGTTTTTTGTGAAAACCAGGAAGCAGAATATGAATTTTCTCAATTGATAAGCCTTATTTGTCAAGGTAGAAACTTATCAGATGGAATAGAAACATTGAAATATATATTACAAGAAATTAAAAACTTTTTCGTAGGTATAATATCATGTAGAATATATTGAATTGATTGTTTCATGAGTTTTGGATCAAATATAATGTTTCTATTTCAACATTTAAATTACTTGATACTTTTTTCAACTCTTTGAAATACAACATCAATTCCATGGAACAAGAAGCAATTAAAAATGACTTTTATGAAGAGAAAGAAGAAATCAATGAAGTAAATTATAACAACGTTCTTTGTGAAATTATGTAATATATCATTCTGTTTTAGATCAAAATACAATTTGATTCATTCTTGTAAGTTTATTTATCTCAAATTAGATACATAATGATTAAACTATAATTTTATCTTTTCAGAACTAAACATTAAGAAACAAAAGTGAATTCTAATTAGTTTTCTTTCATTTAATTTATAATTTAATATTGTTTTTCTGTTTTTTAATAGAAAGAAGAGATTGAAAATAATGTTCCACACAATGAACGTGGTCATAGTCAAAAAATGATAATCTTCTTGATGTTGAAAAACATTAATTTTAAAATTTAATCAAATGATATAGTTATAGAAGCAGTTATTTTTTCTTTTATTTCATAGTAAAGTAGTACAGATACATATTTGCCATCGTTATTAACTATTATTTAGTTTCTATTCTTTTGTTAGATTTTCTATATATTTGAATGTTAGTTTATCATAAAATAAAACGAATAAAGATAAGATGAAATCAAGTATTCAGTTAGTAATGAAAGTAAAAACTATTGCTTCTAATACAACTGAACTATACTAATTATGTTCTATTAATAGACATATTTCATGATATCATCACTTAATTCGTCAGTTATATTTCCGAATCAGAACATTGGAAGAGATAATTATTTCTGGATGATATTAATTCAAAATCATCTTAGATCAAAATTATATCAACGTTATGTTAATGCAATATTTCAAAATTATTTAGAATTTCAGTTGTGTGTTATTTGGTTATTAAATGTATTAAATAGCAAAGATAATAATCATGGTTATATATCTTATAGAAGTATAATTGAACAAAAACAATATCCACGTATAAATCAATTAAAAATGTCTTTAACAATTGAAGAATTATATGAATATTATCTTAATAGAAATAAATATTTTCATAAAGAAATTATTTTATTATTATTATTTAATTGGATCAAAACGTTTATTAAGTATCGATTTATTTCCAATATATTTACATTGTACACGAAATCATGAATATTGTCCTATTCAACAATATTTTAACTATGAAACTGATTCAAATAGTTTAATAGGCAAATGTGTTCGATTATATTCCATTTCATCGATATATATTCTTTGTATAAAAGGAATATTACAATCGATAATATCTGGAATTTATGAAATTTTATATCGTATTAAATTGGATAAGAATGATAAATATTTATCATATGACAATAAACGTTGTAATAAAACTGAAAGTTTGAAAACATTTTTCAAGGTTATTTTTATGCATTAGCTGATTATGGTTCTGATTGTGAATGTCATGGAAAAATAATGAACTATAATTGGTTTAATCAAGCAATGGGCACAATAAAAGTATTCAATTTATCCAATATTTATTTTGGATTTCGAACTAAATATGATTATAGTTATCATAATATTTTATTTGATTATATACAATTAAATATTGTTGAATAAGATTGTTTTTATCATGTAAAATTGATAAATCTAATAAATAATCTATATTTAAATTGTCTTGATTTTGTTTTCATAGTTATGTTATATTCATACAGTTTCTAAGATTTAGAATGTTTCTTTTTTTTATCATATAAGTACAGAATTCAATTACTAAAAATAAGAGGAAGATTGTTCAAATCGATCTTATGTGAAGTTAATGTTTTAGTAACTACGCTTCAGAAAAAACATCTGATGCAATCTCAGAATAAAACATGAAATCTTTGTGTTATAAATAAGATGTAGTTAAGAATACACCTTTTTGTTCTGTAAATAATTATATTTGTTTATCTGTTCATGATAAACATATTTTTCTTATCTTTGAAAAAACTGCACAAATGCAAGCCAGGGTGTGGGTGTTAGTATGGGCAGCTGTAATGAGTAATATCAAAGTACACACCCACACCCTCGAAGTCGTTCGAAAATTTCATATCACAACAAGCAATCAATGTTGACGATATGGATGTGAATGAGGATATATTCAGTTTTACATATCTACATCTTTGCCCACATCCACACTCTCTGCATTATCATATTGTTTAGTTTGGTGAACAAATTTGGAATGATGTTTTACCAAAAAATTGATAAAGAAATTTAATTATGTGATTTAGTTTTAGTTGTGAGTTTCTTTTCTTCGTTTTAAAACTTTATTTTAGTTATCATTTTCATGGTTCAGCTGTACAAATTCTTCCTCAATTATTATCTACAAAATCTTAAATATAAATTTATTTTTAATAAAAAAAATGAATTTAAATATTAAATATGAATATATTTATCATGAAAATAAAATTTATCGTTGATTAGCATCGAGACAACAACAAAATGTTGATTTTATGTCCATGTTCTAGTAAGGCAGACGCATTGCTCTTCTCAATTTGATCATTATATTATTCACTGACTTTCAAAACTCATTTAA